GCAAGACCGCTTCTACTGTAGGTTGGCTGCCATGACCCCCAGTGTCTCCAATCATCCACTTACGAAGTCTTTTGAACCCAAACTCGGAAGAGAAGAGACACCTACTCCACCTAATCGCTCTGTGCATTTCTCCATGCATCCACGTCATCTGTTGGCCTCCACGTGGCTTTCTCCAGTCTGCGACAGCCCTTGAAAAAAGGCGCATCGCGGTGGGCGACCGTTCGACGTACGCAAAACGTGTCCCAACTGATCAACTGATGGAGCCCATTGGGCTGAATTCAACATGCTAGCGAGTTCTTCTTCATGCATTCCCGAACTCCCGACCTGAAGATTACTAGTCCACTCACTCCATTTCATCTGGGCTAGACTACGCAAGCATCGACTGTCGAAAGACTCATGGCGACGGATGTCTTCTATCCGCAAATTAAAGTTCTCAAAGCAGTAAACCAGAACCGATCTCACAGTGGCACAGTATACGCGACTTCTCAATTTCAGTGAAACGTCACATCGTGTTTCTGTCCTGCATACGCTGATCGACCCTTGGAAATGCCGGCGGTTTTCTCGTTTGATGTGCTACCGTCTTTGATCACGCAGCTAGCCAAATACGAGAATCAGTCATCTTCGGCTTATTCCTAACCGTCTAGTTTCAGAACCGGACAGGGCGACGTCCAGTCTTGCAGCATCGCTTTGCACTTTGAAGGTGCAAAGCGCATACCGGAAGGAGTAACAGAATTTACTGGTCTGTCTAGGGCGCTTTGCGCATCCTCTGTACATTCGAACGATGTCGTCAGTGTACTCTAGGTTGCACAGCTTTTCTGCAACTGTTCGTTCAATATAAAAATTTTGGAGACCACTTAATGTGTTCTCACGTTTTTCTTCTGCGATAAAATTGAACAACAACGGCGAAATAGGGCATCCTTGATGATCACCGCTGCTAGTTTCGAATGACCTACTGTATACCCTTCCGCTACCAGAAGTATTCAAGTAGAGTGACCTCAGAATGTTCACTTCTGCCGCATTCCTTTGCGAAGGAGCTAACCCACAAGGGATTCGCAGTTAATTGTATCAAGGATTCCTTTTTGGTCAAGGAACAGAACTGTTGATTGACGTTGTGTATGGAGTAGCTCGAGGACTTGAAGCAGATTGAAGACCGCGTCAATACAGCTGCGACGTGGTCGAAATCCTGATTGTTGTTCGCGGCTATTGGTGTCCCCGAAGGGTGTTGAACGTGGAATTGTGACGGCGGCTAATACCTTAGTGCCGATTGGGGTCAAACTTATTCCACCGTGGTTTGCGCAGTCGTTGCGAGCGCTTCTTACAAATGGAAACGATCAATGTTTCGCTCTAGGACGATGGAAGAATGCGCTCTTGGGACCATGTGTCAGGCATTAAATCAGTAATCAAATCTACGAGGTCATCGCCTCCCATCTTGAAGACAGTGATCGGAATACTGTCAGGTCCTTCTGCTTTTCCTTCATGGATTCAATGCAAGATCGCACTTCTGCTCCGGTAGGAGTTTCACATTACTGCCCACGGAGCTCCAACTACAACGGACGAACTGTTCGTTGAATACACTTCACCCACCGGTCAAATCAACCAGTGTATGTTTCCTTGCATCAACTGCGAGGATCACTTTTATATTTTAGCAACTGTCGCGTTGAATGTGTGAGAAATCGAGAAAAAATATACTAACGGTCTCTTTCAGAACACATAACCACAGTAATCACACTCCGTGGGAGAGGAACAGTTATGAGCACTCTTTTTGACCGTTTAGTTGTGTATCTATCAACATGCGATCCAGGTTCAACGTGATCCGGAGATTTTCGATACGCACCTGAGAGGCTGAGTAAGTGGTGAACGGGAGTACGCCGATTTCGCTTGTAATAAAGGCTTGTATTAGTGCTGAAAAAGAATCTTGGTTACATCGGCAATGCGTAATGCTTTTGTGCTCCCTTCGGAAGACTCAAACAGCGAACGTTCCAGTGTGTCCTATGCAAACAGATCAGTGCACAAACCGTGATATCTGGAAAGTTAAATGCGTTAAACAAGTGTGCATATGGTGAAAAATTGAGGCGCTGAGCATGTAACAAGTCAAATTCATCCGGAGATAACTCGTGGCCACATAGTTGGGTTTCGTCAGTGGAAGGTTTTCAAGCAGACATGAAATGAATATCCAGACACTTTGTCAATCAGCTTCCTCAGATCGCCGGTTCAGCATGAAATCTTAGGTCAACGCGATTTGCCATCAAAATAATCAAATAAGGCAATCGAAATGATTGATTGATTACAGATTATGTTTGATGAAAATAGGCAAATGGGTCTCCCAGTTTTTGCAAGATGTTAAGCGCGCTCCAATACGCGTCGGTTTGCACAACTTTTCGGAGTGATCGCTGACATTCCTTTTGCACGAATGTGCTATACCACACACGAGGCCAGGCGTCGACTGAGAACATTTCAACTGATGCGAACTGAGCGGTTTTCATTCGCACATTTTCTCTTGTACAAATCGAAACTATTCTATTCGAAAACCGGAAACCACGTGACTATTCCACCGTCGGACGTGGTGCTGGTCGAAGCAGCTCCTACTCCACTGCTGTGTGAGTTAGAGATTTAAACTGGCCACCGCCGTTAATGATTTTGGGTTCAATCTGTTTTCGTTCGTATTTTACCAGAGGCCAAACTTGTTGATTGTGTAACTATCAAAGAATGACAGTGGATAGATTTCACTTTCTGTGAGTAGGTTTTCAATGTACCTTTTGATCCTTATTTTTCGTGCAAAACCTTTCTTGTGTTTGTGAGAAACATTTGCGTATAATTCCCGGAATATACTACTAAATTGAGGAAAATAGTTCGACCAATGTTCTTCTGATCGAACTTTTGAGACGAATTCGACAAATAAATTGTTTGATGCGCTGACAAATCATGCACACGGTCCCATTATTCAGTGACTTTCTCACCACCATATTGATTTGTTCACAAACATTCATTATACTTTCTATCATTGCTTTGATCTGCCGACCCCCTCCAACTGTGCTTTAGGTTGCCTCTACTTACTCTGAGAGCTTGATGGTGTCTGCTTTGGCTGAGGACTACTACTGTATTGCGGGCTATGTGGGCTGGTGTGATTTGTCCGACCCCAGTCTCCCCGATCATTTGCAACGACTCAACACCGATCCGCTGCTAGTCGGGTTGCGCTATGATGTGTCTGACATTGATGGAGACTACCTGCTAGATTCCATGGTAAGCTCCCCATAAATGCTTATACTCCCCATTCCTCCTAATTCTTTTAACATATGCATATTTATTCTGATGTCTTCAATTGAGCCGTTCCATCACATACTTGTCATGCGATATGCTAGTTTTTTATTTTTATTCGCACTGTTATCATTAGTTGTTCACCAAACTGCCATAAACTAAATATCAATGAAACTAATCCACAGTATAATCAAATAGAGCTTTGGTACGCAATCATGGTTCGTCACTCTTCGGAAGGGTTGCAACATTCGGGTGCCGTAAGAGCTCACCTTGGGGCAAGAATTCTTACGAATTAGACGATGGGCGGGGTGTTCTTGGAATCTGCGATCCAAGGGGACCGTAGCCTGGTCAGCCCAGCCTTGTGCCTTCAATTTATAGTTCAGCTGTCCAACAACAGCCTTCATTCGGTCGAACTCGTAACTGTTCTACACGAAATGCCCTGTGGTCATTTGTTATTCTGGAAATTATGTGGAATGATTATAGCTTGGGATACGAGTGTTGGTTTTGGTGTGTTCTCCGGGCTAGAAGTGTTGCTGACGTACAACAGGCTAAGTAAGTCAATAAAACCCCACGACGATGCAGTGGGAGTTCATCGGTATTTTTTGAGCTTGGGTTGTAATTTGGTTTCACAAATAAATAACCAACAAGCGTTACAGAGTGCGCTACGGGTCATATTCAAGATGTCTGTCTAGACTGGATGGGTCAAATCGCCTTTTCTGCCTTTGTACTACGAACATCTATCCAGCTGCCAGATGTTCTTTGTATACTGAAAAGTTTCGAGGAACCTGAATATACCAGCCTGCTTATTAAGCGAGTAATCTGTTGTGACTGTGTTCGTCGTTTCAGGCTTCAGCGTAGAATCTCTCACGAAGGTCATATATTGTTTCGTGGTCCTCAGTCGCAACCGGAGTCACTGATCAGATGCAAACTACTTCGGCTTCAGTCAATATTACTATCAACCTTTTATGGATGCTCAACGTTTTTGGTTGCTCTCTTTCAGCTACCCATTCAGTCGACTATGAGGGAAAAAGTCGAATTGTTTAGAAGTGAGAGCACTAAAAATTATTGCACAAAAAGCTAATTAGCTCACTCATATAATTCAGTGTCTATAACTATTTATCAGGTTGATCAACAGGTCCACAACCCGGATGCCCAATATAGTGTATGTGTCTGGGAGTCCTGATCAGAGTTTCATTACCCTCATACCGGGTCTTTGATATTTTCTACCTACCAACCGCTTGTGCATACATCGCAAACCGAGGAAGCCTATCTGGTGACGTGCACAACACATGCCTCCGCCACTGTTATCCATGAAAGTCTAGCACTTGTTCCAGTGCGCGACCACAAGTTCTGCTCGGTTTTTTATAGCCGGCAACCACGCCTTCGTTACTGGTTTTGGGCTCGCCGCTGGGATAAACGGGCAGGGGGGAAGATTAGAATGTTGAAATTAGTACCCACATGGAAACAGGGAATTCCGGTAGACTGAGGTTGCGAGAATATTGAGAAGATGCTCGAGCACCAGTGTTTTCTACACTGAGCCGTATCACCTTCAGTGTCTATAACCATCAGTTACTCTGATCCCGATGTCCCCACCCAGAAAGCATGCCGCAAACAACATGAGCAAGTCTCCCAGTTTTGGGGTCTTCATAACCTCATTTCATATCGTGGTTTGAATACCCCTTGAATTTTTTCCACTCATTACCTGTTTCGGTGAATATCATACACTGTGGCAACCTATTTGGTGATTTACGTAACACATGCTTTAACGAATGTAATCTGTGGAGATCGACCACTTGCTCCACTGGGCTTCCGCGATCACCTAAAATTCGGCCCCTATCCACATCATTGCTTGTCCGGTTACCCCACCGGACTCGTGCAACGCTTGTAGACAGCGATGTTGTAACACCAACAGCGCCAAAGTGTAGAGCGGTCGACTGAATTTGAGGCCACCTTCAAATATAGGAAGATAGAAATGGAGTGTCCGCAAAAGGAATGTGTGAGTTCCTGAAATGGGCTGGAAGTGGAATTACAATGGATAGAACACCTGCCAGGCTTTACTCTAACCCGATTTTTACACATGCACTGTTCCCGTGCTTTAGACAACCGTAGGAGTATAATGCCAGTCAGGAGGTTAGAGACGGTATTGATTAAACCAATTCTTCTGTAAACGAATTTGACAACAAACCGCACTCGTTCCGTTTAACTGCAGCTCCGTTATTTTATGTAGTGCTCGCAGGCGATTTCAACGCTCAGGTTGGAATACTGAGCTCATCCGAATCACGTTCGAGAGGACCTTTCACTCTTCCCGGTCGGCTAACAGAAAACAATGAGGGATTTCTTCCGTTAAACGCAGACCGTCGATTGTTCTTATGTGGTACCAACTTTCGACATCTCTCGTCAAACGGTAGCGTGGTGTTCTAGTTCTGCGGTCAATTTTACCCACATTGATCACAACTGTAAGCTACCGTTGATGTGGCTCACTATAAAATTGCAGATCGGATTGAACCACCAGTTTTGAGTTTAATCACGCATTAGTTGTGATGCGCTTCACTCTTTGACTCACGGGTCATCATCAAAAACCGCCCCCTCACTTAGCTCATAATTGTCTGCAGATCCCAACTGTTTACACACATTTTGCGGATAAGTTTGATCAGTTGCTAGGAGCACCACTGTGTGGCGGAGTAGATCAACAGTGGAATAAAATTAGATGTGTAACGCATTCGGCAACAAACTTTGCTTGTAAAACTGAGCCCGAAGTTCATCTGCAGTCCAGATAGAACAAAAGCGAAAGATTGCAATCTGCCAGGATCAATACAGGAGCCTTTATCTTGTGCAATATCTACCCAGGAAAAGCATGAAAGATCACGGAAACTGATGGGCAAAAAATGGCTAGCGAAATGAAAGTTGCCTCTGCATCACCTGATACGCAGCACCGAAGGTTGTTGCACATTAGTCAGCGGAACCATTGGTGATGAAAGTGAATAGAGTATCCAGGATGAAGAATAGCGGCTTCATTCATGGATAGAGTTTTTTAGTGAGCATTTCAACTGACGTGGTTCTGGTGCGTTTATTCGGTCGATCGAAGCGGAAAATCCGTGGTCGGTAACATGTGAGTCTCCAACAGAATTAGAAGTACGAAGCTGTGTTCAATCCGTAAAGAAAGGGGAGGCAGGAGGACCTAAAGTACTTCCACTCATTCTTTTTAAGGTGAGAGTGACTCGTCGATCACATCTTCCCCCTGCATNAAGTCCTCACATTATGCTTCAAACATAGTCGATCAACGATCACGGTGTTCCTTGACCTAACTGAAGCCTTCGATTCAGTTGATCGCGAATCCCGTATGGGTATCGCTGCTTCGCGAAAAAGTGCTTCAGATGTAAACCTATTGAAATCACTGCACCTGCATACTTCTGGTAGCATAACGATTTATGTCGATCTGATCGTTCGAACCTAGTGGTGGTGTTCGTCAAGGGTGCCCTGTTTTGCCATTGCTGTTCAATTTTGTCATTCGCAAAATACTAAGGACGCACTCTGTGGTCTCCAAAACGTACGTATTGAATGGACAGCTGGAAAAAATCTGTGCGATCTCGAGTACGCTGACGGCATCGCTTTCATCGTTCCGTGTATGGAGGATGCACAAGCGCCCTAGACAGGTTAGTGAGTTCTGTTGCTCCGTTGGACATGGACTTTGAACCCTCAAAGTGCAAAGTGATGTCGTAAGACTGAACGTCGCCGAGTCCCGTTCTGCAATTAGACGGTCAGGAATTAGCTGAATTTGAGTGCTTCTCGTACTTGGGTAGTTACCTGACCAACGACGGTAGTGCATCAGAGGAGACAACCGTCTGCGTTTTCAAGTATCGAGCAACGTGCGCAGGATCCAAACACCTATGGCAACGATGTAACGTTTCACTGAAGTTAAAAAGTAGCGTAAACTGCACCACTGTAACTGGATAACTGGAGAGACTGAAGGTCCTGGCAGCAAGCCGACAGCAGTGGCGTGTTTTTATCATTTCTTATCAAACCGGATTGTTTGAAAACGTATGTATGTGCAGTTGAAATTTGAACTCTTCGTCTTGATCATAGAGATTTTCTTTCATTCCCCCTCCTTCAATATAGGTAAACTCCCTTATCTTTTTATACCATCTCGCTTACGTTGTATACATTGAGTTCGGTAGCGGTCAATGAAGTTCACTTGACTTTATTGCACTGTACAATAATGATGATGATGAGCTCAGCTGATCGAAATTGTTCCCGTTATTGAAAAATTGGTGAGGGCCATATCAGTTTTGCCTCAGGATGTTCTGCTGATCGTTCTCCCCCGGTAAGGCTCTGTGGCCGTCCAGCACAGCAGCGGAAGTCGAAGAAATCCTTTGTTTGTTTATCCTTTGTTTATCCTATTATGCTCGGATCCACTTCCGTTGGAACAACTTCCTTGAGTAGCGCCTAATATTAACCGGATCTTTCAACAGAGAGTCGAACTAATAGGTAATTTGAAAACCTCACTTCGAACACTTATTTGCAGATATCGCTTACATCATACCGTGGATCTCCGTTCGTTTCGGTTGTTCATCAGGTAGATGCATAACTTGGCTCGCAGCGGAGCATGGCCTTTGCAACCGGTGTGTTCTATCCCACAAACCGGACGATAACACTGACCGGACGAGCAAGAACCACGAACGTGTACCAACGATAGAGCGACACCCAACCTACTCCAGCCAAAATGGAACGCCTAACCTGACCAATGGTCGTTCGGTTTCCCAACCAGACCCGTGCAATGCGATGAACACCGCGGTGTTCGAACACCGACAGCCGTCTAAGGTGCTTTTCTGGCTAGTCCAGGGTTTCCCGTTCAGCCTTGAATTCAGTTAGCTGATCCACAAATTAGTTATTGTTCGGCATATTAAATACTCGATCAATGGGCTGTAAGAAGACTTATTTTTATCTTGTCATTATAGCCTTACTATTCGTTCTATTTGATCCCAACTACTTGTCATTTGGGT